AGCATCCTGAAAAATCCCCTGTTGCTTTGGACAGATCTATAAGCTCTCTTATTGCACAATGAAGCACAGTTTTGAATTACTGTTTTTCATTACTGATGTGCTTTCTAGCAGATCCTGCTGTGAGATAAAGTGGTATTAGAGTGGCATTACTGGCTGTGGAATGATTGAGAGACATATGGGGTTGCAATATACTCCTTGAACTAACAGACAGCAATATATCTATGAACCTTCATGCTAGAGGAGCTAGGGTAGAAAAATAAAGCACCATTTACCCCTAAATCATATATATGCAAAACACCAACGTCTGCCAGTGACTACATCACACATTAGGGAGAAAAAAAATGTTGAGGATCTAAAACCTTGTGGCAAGGAGATTTCTGGACCTGCTAGAATTTGAAAGAATCTAATTTCAACAAACTGAAGGGACAATACTGAAAAGAAAACCTTGCTCTCTATTCACTAAAGCAGGATTTGCCAACATAAGCCTCACAGGCCAAATTTGGCTTGTGGAACCACTGGATCCAGCCCATGGAGATGCAGAGCTTTCCTTTTGCCCGTGCCCATGCTGTGGCTGAGTAGCAAATAGCTGCACCAGGGCCAGGGGAACTGGGAGCTGCACCCATGTCGCTGCCATTTCTCCCCACTCCCTAAGGCTGTCATGCAGGCCCAGCTTCCAGTTGGTAGGGAGCTGCACTGGGGCTGGGCTAGGCTGGGCAGGAGGGGGTGGAGCAGGGAGTGGAAAGAGTAGGAACAGCACGGAAGCAGCTTCCACCTCCCCAGCACCAGTGTAGCTCCGTTCTGGCTGGAAGCTGCACTTGCACCATAGCCAGGAAGCAGGGCAAGAGGGCTGAAAAAAGCAGCAGTGACACAGGTGCAGCTGCCAGTCAGAGGGAAGCCACGCCAGAGCCAGGGAGCTGAAAGCTTCTCCGATGCTGCTACTTTCAAAGACTTTCAAAGAGTGAACTGCTTATTGTGGACATGTTATTGATGCACAAGACCTACATAAATCTCAAGGGAACACTAAAGCAGTTCTGAAAGTCCCACAGCCAAAAAATGTTTTGAAACTTAGATCTTTCCTGAGGTGTATTAATTATTATGCTAGATGTGTATATATCCTTTAAACTGTTTGCTGCAAATGAACCACAAATGGGTTTGGTCATGTGAGTGTCAGAAAGCTTTCCCAGAAGTAAAAAGCCTGGACATTATCTGATAGAGGACTTGTTCACTTTAAACCATCGTTGCCCATTGTGATGCATCCTCACATGGTACTGGGGCTGTTATATCAACATTCTATGATTGATGGTACTGAATAGCCCATAGCGCTTGCATCGTGCTCACTCACAGCACCAGAATGGAATTATGAACAGACAGACAAAGAAGCTTTAAGTCTGGTGTGGGGAGTAAAGAAATTTAACCAATAGCTCTATGAGAAAAAGTTTACACTGGTCACAGATCATCACTAACCCTTAGTTTAAATTGTCCATCCTGAGAAAGGGGTGTCTGGGGACAAATGCAACCTGTATGCAATTATGGGCTTTTTTATGGTATAGTAGAGTCAAATGGAAATGCAGATGGATTCAATTACCTGTGAAAGAGCCTTCGGTACCCGACACAGAATCTACTGAAATTGTTAACTTATTACAGGTGGAATATGCCCCAGTGATGTGTAGCACAACTGGGCAAGAAACATCCTACATTAGCACAGGTGTATGAAGCCACACTGAAAGGTTAGAAACCTATGGATAATTGTAATTTAGCACTTTTTTAAGCACCCAATGGTGAACTTACCATACATCAAAAGTATGTCATTCAGGAGATTTGTATTGTTATACTTAGCAAATTGGCTACAAGCATTTTAGAAGAGCTGCATGTAGGTCATCTAGAACAGTGGTTTTCAACCTGAGGGTTGCAACCCAACAGTGGGTTGTGAAAACATATGAAATGGTCTCGAACAAACTTTTAAAATGGAATCTCCTTTAAAGGAGAAAAACGTGGGAAGCCATGGCTTTTCCCTTGCAGGCTGGCAGAGTTCCAGCCTACAAGGGGCTGTTTGATGCCCCCCATGCCCTACACACACCCCACCCTGTCCCCCAACACACCCTCTGCCCCACACACTGGGGGCTGGGGTGTGAGGGGCGCTGGGTCAGGGCTGGCCATGAATGTTTACAAATGGGTCCTGGCACAAAAAAAGTTTGAGAACTACTGACCTAGGAGTTATAAAAATGAAGGCATTATTAGCCAAAAGTTTTGCATAGTGGCCAGACACTGAACAACAAATAAAATGCTTTCTTAAGAAACATATGGCATATCAGCAGGTACAGAATATGCCCAAACCACCACCATTCACACCCATGGGGATGACCATGCACTTCCTGGCAATGGCTCCATACTGATTTTGCACAATTATTTTTAGGGATGATGTACCTAGTGGTGGTGGATGCCCACTCCAAATGGCCATACATTTTCTGTATAAAAACCATTACAGACAAAGTAAAAATTGTTAAATCTGTCTGCAAGAACAGGATTGCCAGAACAAGTTGCAACTGACACTGGCCCACAATTCAGTTCAGTTGAATTTCAAAGGTTCACAGATTAAAACGGCATCTGGCATATTAGTTCTGTACCATACTACCCAGCCACAACTGGGCTAGCTGAACAATTTGTACAATCTTTAAAGAATGCATTGCTCTCTAGGAAAGAAGAGGCCAGGTCAGTATAGCAGAAGACAGGCCCACTTTTCTTGCACACTGGAATGCAGCACATGTTACAATGAATGAGACACTGGCAGCACTGTTTATACACTGGATTCTCAGGTTACAATTGAGCTTATTAAAAATAGACTTGCAGCAGCATGTTATAAATCATCAAATAAGCAAAGCCTTGACAAGGGGAACAGGTGCCCCAAAGCAGCTACACACAGACCAAAAGGCCTATGATTACAAGAAAGTTAAAATAGCAGCCTGCAGTTGTGAGTGCACAAACATGCTCTTTGTCCTATACCACAAGTGGGCAAAGTCCAGTCTCTGGGCTGGCAGTGGACTCCATTTCCCACCAGCCCCTGCCCACATGGCTGGAGCCAGTCTCCATGGAGACCCCAGCCACACCTGCACTGTGACAATGTAAGGCTGCGGTTGCCATGGAGACCGGACCCAGCCATGCTGGCAGGATGTCTGGCAAAGCAGGGCAGGAGACTGTTCTGAAGCTGCTAGGATCTTAGGCAGGGGCAGCTTGGTCAGGGTCAAGGCAGTGCTGCAATCTGCAGCATTCATGCTCCAGCAGGAGTGTGCAGGCAGCAGATCGCAGCTGTGCCCTGGCTCGGGACTAGGCTGTCACCACTGCAAGGAGCCAGGACAGAGCTGCGATCAGCTGCCTGAGCACCCCTGCCTGGAGCATGCAGGCCGCAGACTGCAGCTCTGACCTGACCCCGACCAAGCTGCCCCCACTGCAAAATCCCAGAGGCTGTGGAGCAGCCCCCAGGCCTGCTTTGCCACGCACCCTGACAGAATGGCTGGGGCCGGGGTCCCCGGGAACACC